GGGAGCCTGTTTTCCCATTCTCAACAGGGGGAGGGTGTGCATTACGCACTCTGCACACTGAATGTGGTTGTGTTAAGGAAAAGCGCTTGTGCCTTAGCTGTGAGCAGAAGAAGCCACTTTTTCCTTAGAAATACATCTTTATTTGAAATTACAACTGCCATTCTGTCAAAAAATAAACAATGAGCCTGTCACTTCAAGGAAAATAAATTGTGTAATATTTTCAATGACACAATTCAAGCCATATAACCTAAAAAAATCAGAATTTGGTAAAATGTGTACTGACTGTCCTTTACATTCTTCCTCTTTCTTTTGGTTTGAAATAAAGAAAGAGGGTGAGGAGGGGAGAGAGAGAGGGAGAGAGAGATCAATTTATTGTTCCACTTATTTTTATACATTCATTGGTTGTTTCTTCTATGTGCCCCTGACCAGGGACTGAACCCATAATTTTGATATAATGGAATAACGCTATAACCAACTGAGCTATTCGAACAGGGCAAAACTGTGTCCTTGGCTTTGTGAGCTTGGCAGCTTTACAATACTTAAAAATTTTTCTGGGAAGATTGATGGTGATACTCACAAAAGGGCGTATTGGACACTGTACAAAGAAAGTGAACCAATACTCTCCAAATGACCAGCGCATAACATTATCATAATATAATGCACAAGTGAAAGACCCATTCAGTGTACAAGATAGATCAATTAATATGAACAGAGTACTGACGATAAGTTCATGGATATTATTTAAATTTCCATTGTAAATAATTGAAAAAACCAGCACTTATGGACTTTTGGTCCAATATCAATGAATATCCACAACTATCTGAGGCTTTGTAAATACAGCTTTTTCTAGCCAGATAGCTACATGAGGCTGGGTCTTCATACTACTGCTTCAAAGCAAAGAATTAAAATGATTGAAGTAATTGCAAATGATTGAAGACAGAATATACATGAGAATCAGGTGTCTTCTTTTAAGCCAGACATTAAAGAGATTTGAAAAAATTTAAGTTAATGACACACTGTCCACTCAAATTTTGGTGTGGAAATAATTCTTTTTTTACGTTGTTTTGTGCATTATATCCTATCGTAGGCAAGACAATCCGCCACAACAAAGGATTATCTAGGTTAGAATTTCAGTAATGCTATAAAAACTCTTAAACATACAATGGACTTATTTCTTAAATCTCAATTTTAATTTCTAATAGAATAAACAGCAATATAACCTACATAAAAAAATACTCTTTGGGATCCTCAATAACTCAACTGTTATGGGTCTTAAGACATAAACAAATAATTCACTTCAATCCTATCTAATAAAGAGGGAATATGCTAATTGACCCTCATGCTGTTGAAAAGATGTCAGTGCCCAGTCCCCTCAGTCCTGCTGGGGTGGCAGTTGTGTGCCTGCCTCTGGAGTTCCTTAGTCCCCTCAGCCCTTAGCTGCCCAGGGCCACCTGAGGCTCAGGTAACCAGGGCTGGCTGAGGTTTGCGCTGCCAGCAGTGGCAGCAGCAGAGGGGGCATCACCTTCCCCTGATCGCTGGGTCTCCTCCTGTCCTTGAGGGCTCCCGGACTGTGAGAGGGGGCAGGCTGGGCTTAGGGACCCCCACTCCAGTGCATGAATTTTCATGCACTGGGCCTCTAGTAATATAATAAAAAGCACTCTGTAGCTTGCTCCAAAAATGTCTGCAGTTATACATACCACTCAACTTGCTATGTTATACTAGTACATTTATTAGCTAGAATAACTACAGGTTTTAAAACTCACCTGTACTTGATGTTGTTATATATGGCCATAGACACGCTGTGGAAAAAAAGCCAGTTTTAACAATTGATTTTATTCTGTTAGGTTTGAGGAAAATTTTTAATGGATTGGGGGGAGTAGGAAGACCATCCCAGCTGCCCAGTGGCCTTGAAATCCTCATTCCCATCAGCATCATATAGGCACTGTGCTCCTTGTTTTAGCTATTTTACTTTCAGCACAAATAGGTGAACCAAAATGCTAGGTAACATGTTGTTAGGAGACATGTGAACGAAGCAGCATTTTTGAATCACTTGTGGGAGAAATATCAAGTGGTTTGTTGGTTCTGGAGAATAAGATACTTGAAGGAGAGTGGAAAAAGAGGTAATCATAATGTGGAAGACCTTACATGTGAGTGGATATAGAATCAGTAGGCTTTTCTGCTCCCCTAATTGGGCATCATGATTCATGCAGAAAAAAATGGATAAGTCATAGTTCTTGGCCCTTCCAAGAGCTGAGACTGAAATAACATACTATAATACAGGTTTCTCCATGAGAGTGCTCTGATGTGAGTATAAACAAAATCCTCTAGGAGTCAGAATGATGAATTATTAGGAAAGGTGGGAACATGTGAACTGGGTTCTGGCAGATGAATAAAGTGTGAACCACTATCAAGGCTGGCAAAATCACTAGATGCAGCCCTAGCTGGTTTGGCTCAGTGGATAGCTAGAGCATCAGCCTGCGGACTGAAAGGGCCCAGGTTCGATTCCGGTCAAGGGCATGTACCTTGGTTGCAGGCACATCCCCAGTAGGGCGTGTGCAGGAAGGAGCTGATCGATGTTTCTCTCTCTCATTCATGTTTCTAACTCTCTATCCATCTCTCTTCCTCTCTCTAAAAAATCAATAAAATATATTAAAAAAAATAAAATAAAAGGAGCTCAAATTAACTGAGAGAAGGTAAATCTGAATTTCATAACTAGGTCTGTGGAATATGAGTCATTGTAAAAAGGCCTGTAACACCATGAGCATCCAAGAGAGATACTGCTATTGGGCTTCAAACAGCTTCATCTTCAAACTGATTTTAAAGTCACAGAATTTGAAGCACAGAAGCTGAAAAGGACCACTGAACCTTATTTGACATTCAATTCAACAACCTATTTTACAGGTGAGAAAACCAAGGCTGAAACTGACTTGCTCAAGGTCCTGCCAACAGCGAGGAGCCCCTCTCTCCCCTCCGCTCTAACCAGGCAGTGGCTCCTGAGCTTGGCTGTGCCCTGGGATCTCCTGAGGAGCTGGAGAAACTGCCCGTCTCCACCTAGAGAAGTGCAGCCTTCACTGGCATTGGGAAGGCACAGGGTTGTTTATAAAGCTCCCAGGAGCTGCAATGTGCCCCAGAGTTGGAAACACGTGACTTAGGGTAAGATCAGAACCTCCCTGGGTGCTTTTGCCCATGTAATCATGCCTCACAGTTTTCCTCAACTCGTCAAAGGTTGTGACATTGAGACTGTGTTGGGGCAGGGGGTGAAATGCATGTATTTAGAGACATTGTTTTGAAATAAATTGCATAAGTGATTCTAGTAAAGACTACACCCCATTGAGAACAATGTACCATGATGAACATTTTTCAAAATCATTCCTAACATTCAATGAGCTCTATGAATTTCCTCAACAAACCCTTATTTCACCAAAAGTGCATGTACTGATGATCATTTTGAAAACTTAAGGAGAGGAAATTAAAATTTACTGTACTTCCAAAATTAGATTAATTTGGAAAAGAAGCATGAAACCTACTTGTCTGAGCAATTCTAATCTTTAAAACTACTTTTGAATTATTCTGTAACATCAGAAATCTTTTTAATTCAAAAGAAGCTACGGAATGTATCCAAAGTTGAGTGGTGTTATTCTTTCCTCCAGGATTTAGTGTCTTGGCTGAATAAAAACAGTCAGTGATGACTCAATAGGTCCCAAAGCTCAGGAGTTTAGAGAGAGAGACGGGGCTCAGCTTTTGCTGAAACACAATTTGATCTCAACTACTGTTGTAAATGTGAGAAGAGAGTTATCCTATCTAATAATAGACAAAGATGCAAATTGACCATACCTTCACTACGCCCACCATTGGCTAATCAGAGCAATATGCAAATTAACCACCAACAAAAATGGCAGCTAATTTGCATATACCAGCTGGGAGCAAAGACTGAAGACACAGTAAAAGGAAGCCAAGCAATGGAGCCGAGGTAGCGGAGACGGGCGGGAGAGAAGTGGCAGAGACGGGTGGGGTAGGAGCAGCAGAGAAGGGCGGGTTAGGAGGGGCAGAGAAGGGTGGGGTAGGAATGGCAGAGAAGGGCAGGGTAGGAACAGCAGAGATGGGAGCAAAGCCCTATTCTTGCAGGAATCTTCCTGCAATGGGCCTCTAGTATTATTATAATAAAAGGCATGCAAATCGACATGAGATTCATGTACTTGTTGGGGGGGGGGCTAAATTAATTAGCAAAAAGTTGGTACATTATAAAAATGACATTTTAAAGCTAATTGTGTTTTTCAGGCTGAAAAATACAATTAAAGGTGAATATATTAATACTGTCAAGGAGTATTTCCCAAACCATGTTCTGGAGAATCAGCCCTCATATTCCAGACACTGAGAATGTACCTTGGACAACCCCATGGGAGCCAGGAAGCTGGACAGCATATGTATTTTCTCTTTTAAATAAGCATAGAGGTTTCATCTTCGGCTTTTTAAAGCTCATCTCCCATGGTAGACTAATAAACACTTTTCATCATCATAACACTGTTCATGGTTGCTTAAGTATAAACCTGCCTATGGCTATGTTTCCAAAAATTACCTCTTTCATTTTTTTCTGTGGTGATTTTTATATATATGGAATTGTATAGTGTCTTGAAGATATATTTGTATATGTATATCTATACATATATAATTAAATTTTATATATCTATTAAATTAAAACTTCAGTTGAACAAATTTTACCCATATAGGAATTATCTTGAAAAGTTGTTCTTTTTTTAAAAAAACATATTTGATTTTTTTTACAGAGAGAAAGGGAGAGGAATAGAGAGTTAGAAACATCAGTGAGAGAGAAACAAAAATCTGCTGCCTCCTGCACACCCCCCACTGGGGATGTGCCTGCAACCAAGGTACATGCCCTTGACCAGAATCGAACCTGGGACCCTTCAATCCGCAGGCTGATGCTCTATCCACTGAGCCAAGCTGGTTAGGGCTGAAAAGTTGTTCTTTAAGACTGATGTGATACATCCCACTTTGGGGGGTAGGAAAACTCTATTTCCATATAGAAATAGTGTAGAAAAAAATGTAAGATGGGAAAAATCTGATAAAAATCCAATTAAATTTTAATGCAGATACACTCTGGTGCCAGTAGGGGACAAGCTGTTCCTTCTTCCAAGAGTAGCTTCCAAAGTGAGGTGCACTGTTCTGTGCCCATGTCTCATAAAGAAATACTTTTTATTTTTATTGTTTTTCCATACAGATTTATATACATATAGACCTTCCAAATCAAGAGGAAAATGGTGCCTCTAGTTTCTCTTCCTACTGCAAGAAATACTCTTTAACAGAAACTCCCAATAAAAAGCAGCTCTCCTTTTCATTGTGGTCAACAATGTCTTAAAAACAGAAATCCATCAGGAAATATCAATACTTTTGGGGGGATTTCTTATTTCCTAACTGGCTTTCCCTTCTTCCATTCACTCTGAGTAAAGTGGAAATTGAAAATTCATATTTAGGCCCTTGAAATCAATAGATAATTGACACCAGTTTCTTAACCTGGTCACTGCAAAGGACAATGAAGTGACTGTAATTATGTATAAATAGGATGCTCCTACCAAAGTGGTCTGTCACTCAGTCCCTGGCATCCTAGTTGTACTCACGCTTGGATGATGGTGCTGAAATTCGGCTGGCTCACAGTGTCATCATAGAGAAACACCGTGGGGCAAGACCCATAGCGCTTAGTAAGGCGCCCTGGAAATTCCTACCGAAGGGGGAAAGAGAAGAAAGTGTCACAGTATGTATGTTAAACCTATAAAACTGTATTTTTTCTCTCAGTTAAAATGTCAAACAGTTAAGCATTAAGGCTTTTCTTACAGTCCATGAACTGCTTGAGTGTGGTATCATGAGAAGAAAGTGTCACAGTATGTACGTTAAACCTATAAAAGTGTATTTTTTCTCTCGGTTAAAATGTCAAACAGTTAAGCATTAAGGTTTTTCTTACAGTCCATGAACTGCTTGAGTGTGGTATCATGTGTGGCTCTATGGTAAACCCAGTAGATAGTCTAACTTCCACAGTGGAGATTGGAGGAATGAGTTATAAAATGCTGCCTTTCATAAGTACCTATAATCAAACCTGGCAAACCCCTGTTATAAATCCCCTTTATAATAGTGTAAAATGTTTAGAATTAGACTTCAGGGCTGTTGTTCTTTTTTCCTTAAGAGATGAAAAGCAGCTGAGATTTTTCTATTTCTACTGTTCATTTACTATAAATAAATGCAATGCATCAAATAATAATAAATCAAGACCATTTTATTACAGTAAATGAAATCCAATAATGAATATTAATTCAAAGAGACAAACAAACCTCAGAGAATGGTTTCCATTCATTTCTAAATGTTGTTAATTCTGTTCTCTTGGTCTGACACTCCCTCCCATCCTGCCTCTCAGGCTGCTCTCTGCTTACAAGGCCTCTTCTTCCTTGTCCAGCAAGCTCCACTCCTCCCCATCTACCTCCAGGATACCCTCACCAGCAGCCACACCACCCAACCTCTCTCCTGCACACGCCCACATCTGAGTTACCACTTGTCACATGGCATCAACTGCCCACAGGGTGTCCCTCTCATAGAAACCTACGCTTCTCTAGGGAAGGGAGGACTCTGACTTCTCTCCTGCCTCCAGCTGCTAAGCACAGAACCTGGGACAGATAAGCAGCTTGAGTGCTTTACAAATTTTTAAAATCATTTACATCTGGTTGGTAAATCCTACTGCAGATACAATTTAGAATTTATCTGCAGTGGTACTGGGAAGGAGACAATAAAAATTTTGAGAATCTTTAGAGAATAAACTATCCATAACACACTTTAGAAGTATTCATTTATTTGAGAAGTATCCATTGATTTGTAAAGAGCCCATTATTCAGCAATAATCAAACACTGAACTATATTTTGACAATTATCTTCCTTAAATTTATGACTACAACTAATCACTGTAAAAAATTTAAAGTAATAGTAGTGTTTTTAAATATAGAAAATACGAATAACTTTAATATGCTTGGTTTTGTTGTTTTTAAAAACTAATGCAGATGAGACATCCTTCCTCATTTCATAGAAAATAGCTTTCTTCATGCTGTCATACTTCCCCATCACCATCCCCCACAAATGCACAAGAGATTGGGAATAATCTACTCAATGCCTTTCAAAATACAGAGCATTTTAACAATGCCAGTAGCCTATAATCAGAAAGATCAATATATTGTATAAAACACCATTTTGCTTGTTTCAATTATTTCAATGCAAAGCCCCTTTTTCCTTATTAATCAGAAGTTCCAGATGGTATATTTTTGAAAAGCTTCAGCATTTGGAGGATAAAATTCTTCTTCAAGCTAGAATAATTAGTATTGAGAAAACCTACAAAACGATGTTCATGCTAATGGTATTGGTCCATTACATGTCTTAGAAATCATGGCAGACAACTTTATATCAAACTATTAATATCTTTCTTAACTTTTCAGCTATTTACTTACATCATTGTTCTTCTCGTCTTGTTCTAAGAATAAAAAAAATTAACTGATCAATTCTGATGCAAATGCCATAGAAAAATAACAGTAGCTGATTATCTGACAGACTACAATATACAAAATGAAACATTTTATTCCATTTTAAATACTTTACAACAAAATTTATAATTTGGAATACCTGGAAAGATGAGCCCCCTAAAGTAAAATCTAAAAACTTAGTTTTCCTTTTTGACCTAACGTATCACCTATATTCGGTACAAATGAAAGGCTATCCATGTACAGAAGAAAAGGGCAAATCAATTCACACCAGGTGAGAAACGAAGCTGATGAAAAAGTTTACCTGTAGCATATCTGAACCTCTACCCAGCAGTGGTATCTGATTGTCCATTTATACCCACCTCGCTTGAACCACCAGGATCTAAGAGTTGACACTCTGAGAACCAGTTTCTGGCCAGGCCCTAGTCCCCAGGCTCATGAGCCTCCCTGGAAATGTCCAGAACCACTTATTGGTAATCAACCAAAATACCTCACTTAAAACCAATGGGTCTTTACTCAATTGAAAAGTAACCTATTTAGCCCTGACCGGTTTGGCTCAGTGGATAGAGCGTTGGCCTGCGGACTGAAGGGTCCCGGGTTTGATTCCGGTCAAGGGCATGTACCTTGGTTGTGGGCACATCCCCAGTAGGGGGTGTGCAGGAGGCAGCTGATCGATGTTTCTAACTCTCTATCCTTCTCCCTTCCTCTCTGCAA